ATATCTGTGGATAATGATAACTAAAAATAGACAACACAACCTTGTCTAGTAGACTTCACAAGTTCCTTATTTTTAAGCACTTGATAGGGATTTTTTTTAAAGTGGAAAAAGCTGCTCTGTAACATGCAAAGTATTGTACAAAGGTATCAGCAAAGGTGATTTAGAGTGTTGTTTCAATCTTTAGAAGGTAAACTGAGCCACCTTGAAAGTATTTTATCCTCTTTCTTCTTAAACAGAAGATCTCAGGACTCTCTTCTCTCTAATTCTCCGAAGGTGTAGAATAGTGTAGTGGTGTAGTCATGGTTTGTGGGGAAGGAGAGAAGGGATCCCCAAGAGGATGCAGTTTTGTTTGCCAGAATGAGACTGCTCCAGAGACTTGGCAGTTTTCTAGTGTACATTGGGTACTTGCAGCAACCGTGAATTAGATTTTTAAATATAACCCAACATCTGGTTAATGCAGGAATCTGGCTGGAGCATAGAGCCTAGCCTTTCCAACCTCAAGCACACCAGCTACTTCCATCCCCCACTAGACCACTGCTAGCTCTCGCCTCCCTCCTTTGTGCAGAACGTACACCTAAGGACACCAGGAACAGAAGGGTGATCTTCCCCAAGTTGCCATTTCTAATAATCACCGAGCTGGGATCTGAACTCAGGAGAACAGTGCCAGATACACTGATCGCCCCAACACATACTCTTCTTACTGCCCTCATCTTGCAGAAGGAGGAGACTGAAAACCAGAGAGTGAGCAGAGGGATGCCTACCTCAGTGTCTGTGTCCACCATCTACTCATAACCTTCATATCAGTCCAAGAGCAGCCCAAGTGGGGAACTGAGCAAACAAGAGGAAAGTAAACTCTCTGTAGGGATGGACTGCTGAAGACGGTGCACAAAGGGCACTCTGGCCCCCATGCGGGAGCAGCAAGCGAGAATTCTAGCAGCTACCCAGGGCCAGGGACAAGGGGAGAGGTCATCCCTGCACAGGGCAAGGTGAGCCCTGGATGAAACAGGAAGAAAAATCCTGTCTGGAATGGATCATTCCCTTGTCCCCCCAGAGGCGTATTCCCTGAGTCCCCGTGGGAAGATGTGGGAGTTCCTCAAGTGTTTTAACACCTCACTTTAAGCCTCAGCTAACTTTGTGGAAAACCATACATAGTTATCATTCCACTGCAGAGATTCATCCATTTTCAGGTAACGTTTCTCCTGAAGAATCTCTTGGCAGGTTTGTTACAGCTAACCCGTCAGACTTCTGAGGAGGCAGCTTGAGAAGGCTGTTAAGGTCAAGTTCGCCAGGGCAGCAGCAACCGTCGTTGAAATGCACTTTTCCAGGTCACACCATAGACCTCCCGAATCAGTCGCTGGGGTGGGTCCAAGTAAAATACGTTTTAACAAGCCCTTTGGGGTTATCCTGATGCTCACTCAAGGTCAAGAAACCCTGACTTAGCATATGGTGCCTTAAGATGTGTCCATTTTGGTCTGAATGTTCCATGTGGTAAAAACTACACTCTCTGTCCTGTGGTATGAGTAATGGAGGTCTGAAAGAGAGTCTGTCACCTCCTGCCCCGTCCCTTCACCCATCTTCCCAGTCCTCTGCACACAATTCTGCACAAGGCTCCCACTAGCCATTCATTTCCCAGGCTCTAACACCTCTTGGAACATCTCTTTAGAAAATGCATTTACAAATGATCAGTTTATGAGTACACAATCAGGCAGCAAATACTGATACAACCATTATATATTTTCAAGGAATTTCAGATAAACTGGAAGATGGCTAAAATTATCCCACCTTTAAGACCCAAAGAAGTAAACATTGAATTTTCTTAAACTAGTTGATGAGAAAAAAAGTCTTTTAAAATATAAAAGCCTGAGCATTCTCATTTTCTTATAAACTAGTCATATCCTGGAAAATAAACCTTTCCTCCTTAATCAGGATACTGGTGTTAGTAACAGTTGTTCATAAATAAGATTTCCCAAATAAACCTCTTATCTTTATATGGAAGGAAGTTCATGAAGAAGGCACTGACGTTCTTCCCCAAATAAGACGACAATACATTTTTGGGTTCCTTTCCCAGAAATTAGTAAATAACAAAATACCTTTCATTAAAAAAAAAAAAAATGCTCACAGCAAATGCTTAAATCTAATCCATATGCCACTCATATGCTTAAAAAAGAAGATGGTTTCCATGAGCCAATTTCTCCACTCATTCTGTGCCAAATAAAACAGATTTTAGCAAAAAGCTTTTACTGCCTCAGAGGGAACTCTGTTCATTCTACAGGGTATAAAGTGTTATTTATTTTTTCATTCAGAATTCCCAATTCTCTACTTACTGTACCTTTTCCCACTAAAGCAGGCTTTATCCACCGAGGGTAAGCACATTAAATGCAGAAAAATACAACACATTCTCTGGCTGGAAGAAATTTAAAAAATGCTAGCCCAGCCCAGCATTCACATTCTATCTCATTAAGAAAATGCAATTCTTATTGAAAAAAAGTCTTACTTTTTGATCATGGAATTCATACTTTTCACTGCTAACAAAATACCTTTTCCAACCAAAAGCAAAAAGACAGTCCCAGGGGTACGAAGAGGAAATTGCCAATGCTATCAATAGAGTCTGCATGTTGATCTATACCCAAGCAAATTAAAGCGATACTCTGTAGACATCACAGAAATAGCTTCACTTTCCATTTGCATCATTTGCATTATTTAATCATGCAAATGTACAACAAAATGAACTACCATTTGTGCTTAAAATTTTTTTTGTATCAAAACAGCTAAAATATCATGGAGAACTCAAAATAAATGAGTGGCATTATAAAATATTTAAGAGAAACAAAAATCAAAATGTTTTCCTTTAAAATATGTTGTATCACAGGCTTTTAGGACAGATTTTTAGGGATATGAATGAAAAGGTATGTAGACGGGAACAAGGTGGTCTTTGAGACCTAGGGATAAAGACAGATCATATATAGATGACCAGAAGGCCAGCTTGCAAAGACAGACTGACAGACAGACTGATACACAGATAGACTGACAATCAGGCCATCAAAGAAATTAAGTGAGATGTTGTGACCCTGCCAGAGAGATCTACTTCTGCAACTTCTTTTTTTTTGAGTTGGAGTCTCACTCCTTCACCCAGGCTGGATTGCAGTGGCACACATGCTCATGGTCACCCCAAGGTCGACCTGCTGGGCTCTGGCGATCCTTCTGCCTCAGCCTTCCAAGTAGCTGGAACTACAGACGTGTGCTACCATGCCTGGCTATTTTTAATTTTATTGTAGAGACAAGGTCTTGCCAAGTTGCCCAGACTGATCTCGAAACTGCAGGGTCAGACAATCCACTCGTCTCAGCCTCCCAAAGTGCTGGGATGACAGGCTGAGCCACCGAACCTGGCCTACTTCTGTAACTTCTAATCAAGATCCAGGAATCTAGTCTTCACTGTGGAGGTGCAGATTTAGTTTCAAGAATATTTGAAGGAAAAGTCATTTTATGGATGAGCAAAAAATGGTTCAAACTGAAAGAGTAGCAGAGGCATGAGGCTCTAAAGCATTCTACGCCTGGGACAGGTCACAAGACACAAAGGCAGCAGCAGCAAGAGTCAGGAAAAGAGGTCCTTGGAGAGAATGAATGAACTCTGAATGTGCTTTACGTAAGCGTGAGCATTCACCCAGTGGTGCCTCCCCAGGAAGCAGCATGCTAGTCGGTAGGAAGTGTCTCAGCCTAGTGAAGAATCCTTCTCTTGGTACACACGGGGTGTGTCTGACGTCTGAGAGCACAGAGGAGCAGGCCTGTGTGGCTAGGCAGGTGCATCCTGAGTACCGTGGGGAACTCCGTTGCTTGGGGTCAAAAGTGTGAACCCATTCTGGCCTACAGATATTGTCTCTGCCACACCTCACCCAGGCAGGGACAGGCTTAGAAAAACAAAAACCTAGCCGGGCTTGGTGGCTCAGCCTGTAATCCCGCGCCTTTGGGAGGCCGAGGTGAGTGGATTGCCTGAGCCAGTGGGTTTGAGACCTGCCTGGGCAACTTGGCGAGACCTCATCTCTACAATAAATCAAAAATTAGCTGAACATGGTAGTGCGTGCCTGTAATTCCAGCTACTTGGAAGACTGAGGCGGAAGGATCGCCAGAGCCCAGCAGGTAGAGGCTGCGGTGGCCGGGAGCGGCCACTGCACTCCAGTCTGGGCGACAGAGTGAGACTCCAACTCAATAAAAAAAAAAAGAAAAACAAAAACCTCACATTTGTACAGTGTCACATCCTAAGTCGAGAAAAGAGGAGTTACTGTCAAAGGGTGCCCTAGCCCTCGAAAGGGACGGTTGGATCTTTCAAATAATACTCCCAGGCCTCAGCAGGTAGCTAAGGGAGAGAAAGGCCCAAATAAAGCACATCGGGAAAGTAACTCAGCTGCGAGGACGAAAGTCTCTTCCCAGGCAATACCCAATGGCTTGGTCACTCTCAAAGACATTATGTTGCTCTGAAAATGAACATAAAAGGGAGGCTTCTTTAACACAGGGCCCTTACAAAATAAATGTTATACTTTATACTGAAAACAATTTAATCTTCAAAAATATTATCTGCTGTTCTGTGAACCTGAATTATTTGGGGACATCTGTATTATATCATTGCTATCCTATACAAGGTCCGCATTTCTTAATGTGCCTTTACCCCTGCAAATTTCTCATTCAGCAATCTCAACGCCCCAAATTCCCATGCTAAGATAAATGCGTGGGAAATATTTTTAATAATACAAAATAAAAATAAAATGCATGTTAATCAACAAGCATAGGTCTTTAAGTACTAAAGACCCCTAAACAGTTTCCTGTCTTTAATAATTGAAGCAGAGTGGCATCTCACCTTCACTTCTAGATAAAGTTTAAATATTCACCCTAAACACTCTGGTTGCTAAAGCCACAAATGTGAAGAATAATGGTGTTCCCAGAGAGCCTTCCAGAGTGAGCTGAGTTCCTTAAAAGAGGCTTAGGACATGAATGGCCCACTGCCTTACCTTTTCCGATGCCTTGTCTTGCACAGCTGCCCCTGAACTTGGAGGAGGCGGGGCCCGACGCTTCTTCATATCCGACTTCACAGACATGCCTGAGATGCTGCCCAGTGAGAGAGATGGACCCAGCATAATGGAACGTGAGTGCATGGATGGCGAGTTGGGTGTCGTTAAACAGCCCTGTTGAAGAAGAGACAAAGTCTCATCAGCTTGAGAGGACCACCGGGACAAGACCCCTCCTTTCACTTTTCTGCAAAAGCTGTAGAAGGCATTGCATGACAGACCCATGTAAGGCTTATTTTCTTAATCCTGAAGGAAATGACAGACTTAATCTTCCAAGAACACTTAGCGCCTAGAGTTATTTAATCTTCTTGACCAATCTGTGGGTATGTATTAGCCTCCTTAAAACTTTAACCTGTTAGCAGAGGGAGCTCCCAGACACTGAAAAGAGGAAGGAACAGATCAAGGGAAACATTTTCATGGGAAGAGAACCACAGTGTTTGCCATCTTGAGAAGGACTTTACCTGTTGCCGGAAGGGGTTTAGGTTTCTTCTAACTCTCAGAAGTTATTAAAAAATGACCATGTAGTATAAGCAATATGCTATGAAATCTCTGTGACCATCAGTGCAGTACTCAGTGATAGACACTTGACAAGCTGAAAGACAGGCAATCTAACACACTAATTAATTGCTCTTAAAGGGCAATTTCTATCCTAGGGAGAGACATACATTTTTTTCAATCTTTCTCCCCCTGGGGTATATTTAATAGAATCAAATAAAATGCTTGTACAGAAAGAGTGCTTAGCGAACTGGCATTCTAATTGCAAATTGAAACCAAGATGGTATCATGCTCTGTCCTGCTTTCCCCTTCTCTCCTCTCCTTCTCCACAGCACCTGTATCCTGGACACTGAGAGTCAGTACATGAGAGGAGTTAAGCCCACAGACCCTAGAGATACCACCCAGGTTTGATTCCTGCCTTTATCCCTTACAGGCTGCGTGACCTTGGGCAAGATTTTTTGGTGTCAGGAGTGAGATACAAACCTGGGACAATTTTTAAATTTCTCTCTGTCTTACTCCATCTCCTGTGAAACCAGAGTAAAAAAAAAAACAACAAACAGCTCTTGCACCACAAAGCTATCATGTGAATTAAGTGAATGACTACATGTAAAAGAGCTTTGAAGAATTCTTGGCACAAATTAAATACCCAATATGTGTAAAATAAATATATTTTTAAAAATATGTTATATTAAGCAGTAACCCAGCATTATTTGTGCTAAGACACAAATTCTGTCATTCTGCCGGCCGTACTATCATTTGGTTTCCTGAGAAAAAATTTTGAGACACAGATTATCTTGTGTTTAAATATTAAAGCCAAAGGACAAAACATTCCATGAAGATTGCTTTTTATGCCAGTTCATGTTTCTTTGTGAGACGCTGAACATCAAAGATATCTAACACCCTGGCCTCAGAGGCAGAGTTCCCATAGGAAATAGGTGGGGTGGTAAAAGAAAGAAACACACCCAACAAACTCATCAATGTCTATTTAGGCTCTCATGGAAAAATGTAAATCACTCCCCACAGTCCTTGAGTTCTGCAGCTCTCATACTCATCACTAAGCCAGAAAGCCCATGCAAGATATATTCTCTGCCTGCATCTACTGCCATAGCAACCACAAGGACTCGAGGAGATGGAACTCAGACTTACTTCACCATGCAGGGTCTAGATAACTAAATGAGGCTTATGGAGCAAATCAGAGAAGGGGTTTTGCTCACTTAGGGACCATTGCTTTGAAGGCGTTTTGCTGGATGGCTGTTTGCTCTAATATTCCCAGATTCAGAGGGAGGCCAACTTCATCTCTCCTCTCAGCTGTCACTTAGCATGTGGCCAGAAGTACAGAAGTTGCCTGGTTTTCTTGTCTATAATGTCTGCGGGCAGTGCTTGTGCAAAAACATGCTCACACACATCATGGAGGTTGACTAAAGCTGCAGCATTGGGTGGAGAACTCTGCACCTGGGCCCACGCTGCACCGTTATCTCTGAAGTGTGCATGCCCTGCTTGGTATCCCAGAAACGCAATGCTCACGACAATGCATTCCACAATCCTGTATCTAATTGCTTCTCTTCACTCCACCCTGTCTAGACATGGAACTCCCAGTTCTCCTTGTCCTAAATCCTCACCACAACTACGCTGGCCTGATGGATCAGTCAACACAGGTGTGAATTTACCTCTGTTGTTCAAATGCCCTGTGCGTGCTAGGAAGCTCTGGGCAGAATATGTCCTTACAAGAACTTCACAGGCCCTCGACTCAATATTGATTTCAGGTCTTAATTACACAATCTTTTCCCCACCACACGTGCATCCCGATATCTTGGATTATCTACTTCCTTTAGGGGAGGAATGGGTGCAGACCTTACAGCTGGTCTCATTGGGTTTACTTCAAAGTTGCTACAAGCATTAAGTGAGGCAATTTATAGAAAGCACCTAGCATAATTCTGTCATAGAAGCAGTGTCCACTACATGTGGTTTCCTTCTGCTCTAATAAGTATTTTTGGTTAGAATGTAGAATGACCTCATTAGGTCCACAGTGAGACGGATGACCTTGGAGAACAGAAGCCCAATATGCATCCCCTCCCAAGTACCCCTCCAAGTTCTGGCATCAATTATCTCCAGATAACAGGCAATTATCTCATCATCTTTGTCTCTGGAATGTGACTGAATTTTGTCACAATGGTGTGTCTCCCCCCAAATCTGTTCTACAGTCAACAGACACCTTTTCTCAACTCATCCCACACTTCCAAGAAGGCCAGTTTTAGGGCCTACAAAACCCTCTCTTTAATCCTGCTATTCAACAACTTTTCTTAATCTTCAGCCCTTGGCAACCAAAAACTTTTTGCTGCCCAGAGAATATTTGTGGTTTAACATCTATCTTCCTTCTTTCCCCATGTTTGGAATCTGTGCGTAGAATTTAAAAAACAGGCCGGGCTCGGTGGCTCAGCCCATAATGCCAGCACTTTGGGAGGCCGAGGCGAGTGGACTGCCTGAGCCCGTGGGTTCGAGACCCACCTGGGAAATTTGGCGAGACTGCGTCTCTACAATAAAAAATTAGCTGGGTGTGGTAGCGCACGCCTGTAGTTCTGGCTACTTGGAAGGCTGAGGTGGAAGGATTGCCGGAGCCCAGCAGGTCGAGGCTTTGGTGGCCGGGAGTGTGCCACTGCACTCCAGTCTGAGTGACAGAGTGAGATTCCAACACAATAAATAAATAAATAAATAAATAAATAAATAAATAAATTAATTAATTAATTAATTTAAAAAACAATCCACCAAATAATGTAAGAGAAAAATACTGGGAAGTATTGAGTCTTTTAAAATACTGACTCATATCAACATTAAATAATATAGAAAACCAAGAGATTAGCTCATACAGTCTAGAGTTAAAACAGCCTGGTCCCTGTCCTGTTATTCTAGCTTCCTTGACCTTCTCCCTGCTACAAACTGGCAAAGTTCACGAGTGACAGGCCACTGCCTGCCTGCAAGAGGGGTTTGGTTTCCTGTTTCCTCTCCAAAATGGTTAATATCTTTTTTTTTTGTTTTCCCTTAATTATCACATCTTGTTCTTATAGGGAAGTGAGTCATGCATGCCTTTCTCCAAAGGCTGGCACCAAAATCCACAGAGTTTTGACTATCACGATCTTATCAGATTTTCTCAGGAGTTGTACATGCAGCCAGATAAATCATTAAGAAGCAGCAACAGATAACAGAGAAAATGGAACAAAACAAACAAAACCTCCCATCTCAAGCTTTGCAGGAGTTTGGTCGGTGGGGTACAAACTTCCACCAGGGAAGCTGTTATCATCTGGAGGGAAAGTCCAATTAGATGCCACCCACCAGAGACAATACAAAACTCTCTGTATCCATATAACACCGCTGATAGCCTATTTACTCATTTACTACATTCAGCATAAAATATCAGTGATTTGATCCTCTCATACACACATCTGGGGAGAGGGGACAGGAAGAAGAGGAAACTAACCATTTCCGGATCTCAGTGTCTGCAATCAGTTTCTCTTGGGGGGAGAAAAAATGATCCCCCATGGGCTTTCCAAGGAGTTCTGGGCCTCCCAGAGAAGCCCTGAGCTCCCAGGTGGATGGACTTCTGTTGGCGTGGACTTCAGACTGAGACTCTACCCCTAAACTACTCCATACCATTATGGAGATCCAAGGCCCTTTGTAGAGCCAGTGCCAGGCAGCATAGGCATTGCTTGGACAGCTCACGTGTCCCATGGAACCTGACATGGTGGGTGTCCCTAGAAGAATTTGGGATTCACAGGTACTGCAGGGAACAAGTTTTCTCTCTCACTCATTGGTTTATAATTGATCAGAGATTGGTACAGGACAGGAAACCGAGTATGTCCAAGGTGAATGTTATTATTTTCGAGTCAAGATAACCGGCATGGCTAATTTCCCTGGGCTGAGCTCTTTGTGTGTATCTTCACAGGGCCATGTCACACAGCCTGAGGACAGATTAGCCTGGCCACACACACAGTGAGGGGCTAAGTGAACTTGACTACAGTATGCTTTCAGAGACCAAGGGGAAGACGCTGGACTTGAAATTGTTCTGTTGAAAAGAAACTGTGGGTTGTTATTTTTTTTAAGGTATGAATAGTCACTTTGTTTCTATTTCTCAAAACTGTCCACCCTGCAGATAAGATTATATCTTGTGAGAACAAATCATTTAATCAAGTCTACCAAAAGTCTAAGTAGATCTTTTGACCTGACTGCTGGGGAATTCAAATATAGGTTTTTATTTGTTTGTTTAAGGGTTCAGGGAAATATTTTGCTTGCAATAAGTATTCTCTGAAATAGCAAACCACAGTCCTATCAGGATAGAGTCTTCTGAATTAGATCAGATACTTTCAGGATGGCATGATGTTTGGGGTTTTAATGGCAATAACAACGGAGACCCAAGGGGGTTGACAGAACTACTCAGGATGGCTCAGCTCCCTGGTGACGAAATGAATTAGAAATAAGTTTCCTGGACCCGGCTGCAGCCTCTTCTCCTTATACAATGCTGCCCCCTTTTGAAAGGCTCCGTGCCTTTTCTTGTTTCTTAATACATCTCATCTGCAGTTGCCAGCATGGTCCTGGACAAGGGGTCAGGCAAAGTTTCCTCCCCAAAGTTC